GAAGGAGCCTCTCATCGTCGAAATCCAGCCATGTCAGTAGGATGTGAAAGATAGTTATAGTGACATTGTTATAGTGCGAATGACACCCTCTATTCGATTACCAGTTCATGCGAGATATGGGAAATAATCACCCAATTGTTGGGTTTGCCGCTACGTGGAACACCCCGTGACGACGATGAGTTTTGCACTTCTCTTACGCATAATTATTTCAGATAGTATTCTGTGCGTATGCAGGTTAATCATTTGCCCAATGGAAAGCATGACTGCGCCAGCACGGAGGTCCATATTGAGTCATAAACATAATTTGTTGATATCCGGACTCAAGTAAGTAACTATGGTTATCGCAACGAGGTGTTTGGTTGTGTTCTATCACGAAGATGGTGTCGGCTCTTCCCTGGCTCTGGCAGTGAGTCAATTTTAACCGCAGAGATCATGCCTTCCACATAGTTACACACACACACCCTCCTTTGGCTGGGCAATTTTCACAGTTTTTCCGAAAAAAAAAATCGCTTTGTATCCGTTTTAACAAGTGATCTCTATCCCGCCCGTATACATCGATGGGTTTAACTTGGCTTTAAACTTTGAGGTAAGTGGCTCCTATTCCCCTCATGTTTTGGACGCTTCAATCTATTTTCCTGAATGTTGTGGAAATATTATCAGCGAAAGTCAATACTAATATGCACAAGTGATCCATACTAGAAAAAAAAACAAAGCTTCTCAATAAAACTGCATATAGAAACTACCAAGACTTTGGAGTACGATCCATCAAAGATTTCTCCAAATAAGTCACTTAACTCTTTGAACCCTGAAAGCCGCTATAGCGGCTTTCCCGAGAAAGTCTTCTGACGCTAAAAGCCGCTTTAGCGGCTTTCGCATCCCGTAAGAGGTATGCAACTTTGAAACCTCATATTTCGCGAACCATATATTATATTTAGACAAGTTTTACATCATGTGAAAGATAATATACAGGACTAGGTATAATTTTAAAATTGAGATAAAATATTGTGATCATCTTATGAAAATTGGCAAAATTAAAAAGCATAAAAAACTTCTGAAAATTGCTCAAATCAAATTGACAAAACTTCAATTTGTTTTTGATTAAACCTAGTACATTATCGACAAAATTTGTAGAATTTGAAGATAGCTTTCCAGTGATACCATTAGATTGAAATTATGTTGCACCATTCAAATTTTAGAAGCATTTTTATTCGTGATTTTGTTTGTCGCAAGATCGAGGCGACGTCAAGGTGACGTAAATAACCACCTAACACATTTACGCCGTTACGCAGCGACGTTAAGCAATTACGTTGGCACGTAGCACGTTTACGTTCCATACGAAAAACACTTTTCCTCGCATGCTCGTAACGTCATTTACTTAACTCTTTGAACTCTGAATCCCCAGAACGACGCTACTCTCTCACCTTGACCTCCCACGCCGTCGCATCGATTTGACGCGTTAAAAAATTGTAATATCTCTAATTTTAAATCAACATAACTTCTAAACCATCAGATATCAGATGGCCTGTGATATGTCATATAAAAGCTTATCTAGTCTTATTTTTAACTGGCAATATTTTTTACGAGATGTTTTGATGAGATGTGTAAGTCTATTTTTAGCCCCATCTATTATTTTTCTGTATTTTGGTAAGATTCAATACCTTTTTTAGAAATGTATCATCAATATCAGTTAAAATTTGAAAAGTATACAAAATTACCTTTCCGGGAATATACGGATGACTTTATTGACATACGCATAACTCATTTTATTGCAGAATTTGTACTATCGATTACAATGGTTAGCGAACAAAATTGATCAACTATTTTGACGCCAAGTTTGCGTAACGACGCAAAGGGCGACGACGACAATGTCGTGATAACGTTTATGCGACGTTTCGTGCGTAACGATTTGCGTGAGGTAGATTGCGCAACTGCACATCTGGTCGTTCGCAGCTTGAGTTCAGATTGTGTCATCATTGCATCAGTATCATATCCTCGGCCGCAGATAAAACCCTTATATTCAGACGAATCTTGATCGAACATAGTAAAATTGCTAGAATATAAAGGCCATTTTATATACGTTTATTATATGAATAGGGGACGAAAATGAATGACCAAAGTGAAATATTTGATCCTCATGCATTTATGAGGTTCCGCCGGAAACATCAAGGCTAATTATTCACCCTTGGATATCATGAAAATTGAATAAAAAAAAACTGATAACGGGTACACGGAAGACATGGTGGCACCAGTAGCTCACCTGGTCAGTGTTTTACATTTTGTGGCCTCATTAGATTTTCGAAATTACTGCATATACGCTACATTCCTGACATCGCTATATTTACAATGGATTTTAAACGAAAGCTTTGTCCAGATGAAATATTGGATAGTATTCATCTATCGGAAGAAGAAAATATGGCACAATAAAATTCAGCAATGGCGCTAAACAATGCATCCATCGATATGTTCCATCATTCCGTTTTTAGAAATCCTTATTTTTGCTATTTGTATTTTTCATATCTTTATGCAATTAAAACGGCATCAGAGGCGTAGCCAGCATATTTTGCGCCCGGGGCAAAATATAAAATTGGCGCCCCGACCCCCACGTTCAATCATGTTTTCTATTGCATTTAATTGTATATGTAAAAAAAATTATATTTCGTCACGCTAATAACCGAATTGCGTAAGTCATTTTTAGCTGTTTTGAGAAAAACGTAAAAAAACTTCCTAATGATATTGCTATGCCATTGAGTGTCTTTAATTTGCCATAGTTCAACTTTTTGATCGTAGCCGGATTTAAGTTAATTTGTATGACGCAGTCATGTGACGTCATAATGGCACACTGTGATTTAGGCAAAAATGTGTCTATGGCTAGAGGACATACGCAATTTTGCAACTTGTCCTTATGTACCAGTCCTGAAAACCAAACAATCCAAAAACCCCAAAATAGCTAATCTGTTTCAATTACATTATTTTTTATGTTTAAAAATATATATTTCATCAATATAACACGCTCTGCACATCACCGAAATAAGACTAAAGTTAAATATAAAGAATAAAACAGTAATGTACTCTTATATAAAAGTCAACCAAGGTGAATTGGACTCAGACAGTAAATATCACAAGTGCACGCCTTCCTATACAGTAGTATAAATTGAAAATTATTAGCGCTAAGCTAGAATCTGAGATGCAAAAACTCGAAAATCCTTCGCCTAGGTTATTTTGCCTTTGTGACGTCACAATAGTCCTGCGTTAACAACGATAATTCATTATGACGGAACAATTGGACAAATTTGCATATCATACAAAATTTCTATTTTTATGGGTTTCGGAATTCTTAAAATAAAATCTGAGTTAACAGACAGGTGCGCAGCATTACATAAATACCTATTTTATGAAAAATTCAAAACCGCCCAAAATGACTTACGCAATTCGGTTATTAGCGTGACGATATGTGAATTCAAATTTATATGTATTTATATATTTTATTATTTATTCAAAAATATATGTATATGTAAATTCAAATTTTAATGGAACATTTTATTTAAAGAAGAAGCAAAGCTATACAAAATAGAGCATATGTCCCACTCAGTTACTGTCAAAGATGATCTACATAGTCTAAAATAAATTATATTTTTAATTTCACTGTCGTAAACTGGTTAACACGTCATCAAAATCTGTTTTTTCCAATGTTTCTCTTTCAACACTTAGAAATGCAAGATCACGGAGACGATCCTGTCCCGTTGATGCACGCGAATACGACAAAATAAGTTTCAATCTGCTGAAAGACCGTTCACAGCTTGCAATTGAAACTGATATTGTTAACAAAATTTGTAGAGAAATTCGCAGATTGAATAAAACGTCGTCTCCGAAAGACACAATAAAACCAAGAAGAGCCGAAGGAGTTTCTGGTTGATCTACAGTTCTGTTACTGAGCAGCATTCTGCAATCTCCAATTTCGGTGAAAAGTTCGTGGCCATTGATGTCCGTGTGGTAGAGATTTGCAAAATCTGTGCAATCTCGACGAATTGTCGAAAACGGCATTGAGGTCTTTCAGCACAGTATAATATATTTTATGTAACTCTGCCGCAAAGTACGGTACTTTGACAACAAAATACAATCCACGTATTACTCAAAACATGTATTAACATCATTCAACCAAATTCCGTTTCCATTTGTCTCCAGCACAGAACTAATATCAACTTACATCCGAGTGCGCAGGCAAGAACTTAACGATACAGAACCACGTAATTAACCCGGTGCATTTTGTTACCTAACGTTACCAAATCAAATTTTGCTTTGTTTCCCGGCCAAATTTTTTTGGCCATGTAATTACGATGGAAATCTGACCGTGCTATGTGCGTGATGACGTCGGCAGTCGTAAGTGGTCTGACCAAGTGTGCAGTTTGCCATGTACTAAGATTAGATGTCTGCCGCCGGTGCGATCTTGCTTGTGACCGTTTTTTACCTTTGTTGTGAAATTTTTGCCAGCCCCATTTTGGCGCCCCTGTACCTTGGCGCCCGGGGGCATATGTACCCCACTGCCCCCCCCTAAGCTACGCCTCTGAACGGCATTAACACTGCATATTGTGTGTTTTAGTCGAACAGATTTTGAGGCTGGATGTGATGCGAAAATTTCCCCGTGTATCGTTTACAAGTCGTTAGTCGCTTCACGAATACGAACTTAATATATTGAACATCATTGCCTTGAAAATATTTAGAGGAAAAAAAACAAAATGAAAGACTTGACGACCCCCGATTTGCCTCCTTCTCCGAGCAATATCGAGTAGTTCTAAATTTTCACAATATGCATGCAAAGCTTATGGACGCTCCAAACTGCAACCAATAAGATCTCTAGTTGGGAGCCACTATACAAGGTTATCGTGTCTATAAAACGAATTTTCATTTCTGTGGCCTTTATTGCATCAATATTTGTAAACACATATCTTAGTATTCGTTTCAATTTTAATTCCATTTCAAACTGAATGAATATGAAAAAGTTAAATAATATGTAATTAATTTTCAGGTTATCGCAGTCCAGAATTGATTTCGTAATATTTTGCTGTTAAACATTGCAAAAGTAGGAAAGGTATGTTTACTTCAGTCAGTTCACGAGAGGTGTAGCATATCTGAATCAACGGTACAATCATGTCTGTCACTGACACACTATTCTTATTCTGATCCTGCTTTCGACTCTTCTCTGGTTTCATTGACTTCATGCTGCAATTTCCGTTGTCTAACTCGTCAGAAATTACGGTTCTCGTTGAATATACGTGATCAGTTTCTTTCTACTCAACTCTGTCTCTATTTGAGATACGTTTGCATTTCGAATTTGCTTGTACGACAAATCTTTTTCCACATATTTCACATGAATAAGGCTTTTTGTTAGAGTGTATTGCCTGCAAATAAGTCTTAGACTATATTGTTGACTGAATGCCTTCCACATAATTTACAAATAAACGATTTTTCACCTGTATGCGTACGCATATGCATATTCAGTTCCCACTGTTGCACCTTGATGACCCCACATATTTCACATTTGAACTGATATTCATTAGTATGCAAATTTAAATTCTCCTTGCGTGCAAATACCTTATTGCAAACGCTGCACTCAAATATTTTCTCTTTCGTATGAGTCAGCATATGTTTAAAAAGGTGGGACTTGCAGCGTAATGCTCGATTACATATTTGACACACAAATGTCTTCAGGTGCTTGTAATTTATGCTGCATTATCTTCTCGTTTTGATCGAACTCGTAGGGAATAATGGTGCTTTCTGAATAAACATGATCAGTTGCAACTTTGTCTGTATTTGAGAGACTTTTGCATTTCGAATGGGTACGCTTTATGTGGGCGTTGACATATGCTTGTACGGCAAATCTCTTTCCACATATCTCACATTCATAAGGCTTTGCGTTGGAATGTGCGGTTTGCAAATGAGTATTCAGACTACCTTGTCGAGTAAATTAATTTCCACATACCTCGCAAGCAAAAGGCTTTTTGTTTAAGTGAGCAGTCTGCAAATGGGTATTCAGACTACTTTGTCGAGTAAATTTATTTCCACATACCTCGCATGCAAAAGGCTTTTTGTTGAAGTGAGCAGTCTGCAAATGGGTATTCAGATTACCTAATGTCATAAACGATTTCCCACATAATTTACAAATATACGGTTTTTCACCTGTATGTGTACGCATATGTAAATTCAGTTCGCATTGTTGCACCTTGATGACGCCACATATTTCACATTTGAATTGATATTCATCAGTATGTCTTCTCATATGCAACCTAAAATTACTTTTGCGTGCAAAATATTTATTACAAAGGGTGCACTCAAATTGTTTCTCTTTTGTATGAGTGAGAATATGGTCAGAAAGGTGTGACTTACAGTCGAAGGACCACCCACAAATTTCACACACAAATAGCTTCATATGTTTTCTCAGTTTACTATTGTGACAAAAGCCCTTTCCACATTTTTCACATTTATATGGGTTTTCTCCTGTATGTTGTCTCATGTGGATAGTCATATTTTGTGCATGGACGAGAACTTTCTTGCAAATTTCGCATTTCTGTTGCTTGCTGTTGCTGTCAGGAAAGTGCAATTTTAGATGGCGTTTCAGGTAACTTATATGAGTAAATGCCTTGTCACAAATTTCACACTTATGTAGTCGTTCTCCAGTGTGTGTCGCTTGATGGTTTCTAAGTTGACTAATCCAACGAAAACGCTTACCACAAATATCGCATTCTTGCAACTTACTCTGCTCATCAGGAAAGTGCAATCGCAAATGACGTCTCAAGTTACCATTCAGTGTAAATCCCTTGCCACATATTTCACACTTATGTGGTCGTTCTTCAGTGTGTGTGTTTTGATGGTTTCTAAGTTGACTAATCCAACGAAAACTTTTACCACAAACACCGCATTCGTGCAACTCACTTTGTTTATTCTTTTTCATTTTAGTTACTGATATCTAAAAGTATTCATCAGAACATTGAATAACAAGAAGTTGGCTACAGTATATATACATATACCAAATAAAGTCTCTTTATATGCGATATCTACATAAGATAATTTATTCTTAAATAGTAGTGGGGTAAAAAATAAGCCATATAAGATACAGATAAATAGGAGTATGCGGACCTGTTATACAAATTTTCCCCAAATCCCATTCGAAAACATCTGACCCTTTGATAATTCAATAAAAAAAGGAAACATCGACTGACGAGTCTCACGGATACAGTTTTCCGTAAAAGGCACTCTATAATAAGAAACTGATCCCGTAAATAGTTAAATTTCCAAGCATTATAGATTAAGCTGCATGATGACAACTGTACGGTCAAGCCGTATCACAAACACTCAGTCCGTATCGGAATCAATGTAATGAAACTTTGCTTGGTATTGAAAACGCACTTCACTGTTTAACAAATAATAGCAAGCCCCGGGCTTTTTGTGATACTTGAGTTCCGCACTAGAGAAATATCTAGCAAAATTGCCGACTAACACCGACAGGGTTGCCGAAGTTCATTTTAAGCGCCGCGCGTCTCGTCAGAATTCATGCGTAAAGAATATGCTACGATTGATGATTAAAACATGTTCACTAAAGTTCTGAAGCTTACCCAGTTTATGGATAATCGAGAAATAAGACGACTCGTCTGAAGGTGTATTCATTTCTGCGGATGGTAAGTAATCCTCTCGGAATTTTAATTTTCAACGTTCTTTAAATATATTCTTGGAATTCAAAGATATTCGAAAACTCAGCTAAACTATCCTATCTGCTTCTTACCGACTACATATAGTTTATATCGGACAACCCTGCTATTAAAACAACTCGTCTTCCACGCCGCCAGTCTTTCCTTGGAGGTACTTACCTAATTCTAACCTATACCGGCACTGAAAAACGCTTCGACAACGATCTCGACTGAACAATTCACGCGGCACGCGTTGATCCTCGATATTACTACACGCTTCAGTGACTCTGTAAGTCCTCCAGTGATCGATTAGACCAGTGTTCTTCAACTTTTTTGAACATGTTATATCTTTTACAATTTTCCAAGAACTTTGTATACCTTACAAATATCAATGTTTATTTTAGGCACAGATTGTAAACAACTAAAACTGGCGATACTGCAATACCATGCGATCTGATGGGATAATGTCCGCATGTTGTAAACCGTGTAAATTGTCTTGCGGCACTAGCGTCAATTTAACGTAAATTAAGAGACGCGCATGGCAGCCGAAATCATCAATCAAACCACGAGCTTCCATTGTCTATTTCTACATAATTTGTGAAGTAACAATGTACTCTAGTCCAGGGGTGTCAAACTTGTGCCCCAGAGAACTTTCAATGCGGCGCTCAAACGCTTAACAATAATTGTATTATTTTGTAAGTTTTTTTATCTAAATGTAATACATTTTTCAAACCTTAAAAAAAGTGAAATTGATTATTCACACAAAAAACGACAATTTACTGAAAGTAGTATTGGAAAAATATTTTCAATTTGACCCAATCATGGATAGACCTTAATCTAGCAAAAAAATACTAAAAAAAGGGGAGTTGCAATATTTCTGCATTTCTCAAAATTCTAAAGCACATTGATTATTATGTAACATTTTCATTGTAAGCAGTCAATATGACAAATTTAATGATCAATTTTGAACAGAAATTTTTTTATGTGTTCGTATATTGTTATAATTAAAAATCAATATCAATCATAACTCAAGCGGTCCTATGCCACGTAATGGTAGGAAATGTGGCGGGAAATGACTGGCCCAAAAAGTCAGTCATATGTTTATTCACTGATCTATACATGAAATGATAAACGTAATATTTTAGCAATATTGAAATTAATCAAACATTCTCAACGATCCAGATTAACCGATGATCATGTGACTTCCATAATTAGAGTTGGTACTTTAAATTGATTTCAGCCTGATAATATTAATAAGCTGGTGGATGCCAAAAGTCGAGACATTTGTAATAAAAAACATTGAGTTTCTTTTGTAGCATTTTGTAAATTTTAGTTCTATATATTTAGATTAAGTCATTTTAATGCATGTATTATTCTTTCCTTATCAAAACTTTGTTCAAAAATGTATTGAATAGTTATCATAAAAATTTATGATTTTTTGTAATAAATACAGTAAATTGCAAGAAATAGTGAAATGCAAAAATTAATTTGTAAATGGCATTTGAAATTTAAGAAAATAACATAACTCATTCGGCTGTTTAATTGCTTCACAATATATGTCACAAACTACACTTATCTAAAATATGCTTAAGTATACATTATCAAAATATAATGCAAACTGTTTGCGGCCCTTTTCACAATTCCCAAAATGCGATGCGGCCCTCGAAACCTCACGAGTTTGACACCGCTGCTTTAGTCGGTTCTTTGCGTACATGCCATGCTATTTTTCATGTGCGCCGCGCTCTCTTTGTTGTCTCCAGTTGAATATTTTATATTTACGTTGAATTGGATTGATTGATACGAATTACTAATAAATGCAATAATAACAGAACAGACTTTGAAGTATTAAGCTTCAATATCAAAAAGATTAGGAGAAAAGTTGAGTTAGCCAAGTTTGCCGGAAAATTGGAAAACAGAGATCACACACACATGGAGATCAATATTATCGTTACGGACATTGATCTGAGAAAGTTCTTCACTGGAAAGAAAAAGGTTTAGATAAATTTAAGTCGAAAATTAAAAAGTTGCTCAAAATTTCAAATCGTCGGCACAAAACTTACGGAAGCATACGAAAATAAATATGATATTGTACACATACCACGAGATTAATTTCGCAAGGTGGGATTCGATTGGCCAAGAATCCGAAGACTTTGTGTCGAACATACAAGCCACTCTGGATGCTGAAACTTTTGAGCGATCCCTCTTTTGTTTTGAAAAGGGAATAACCTCTGACGGACTGACAAATTTTGTATATATTATTTTATTTCACACTTTCAAATACGTACTGCATTTTTCTATATTAATTTTTACCATTCTATTTCATTTCGTTTTGCACTTTCAAATATACATTGTACTTTTCTATATTAAATAACAAAATTTTCAAGTAGTCATTCTGCTGTCATTTGGTTGAAGAGACCCGAGATAACCCAAAAGCGCGTAATCCGGATGTTTCGATGTTGAGAGTTCGTTTCATTGGGCGTCAAGTTTTCAAATGCTGTTCACATATCTAGACATATGTACCACGAACTCCAGAAGAAAAAAACGCAATAAAATTACCATTTATGCTTATTTATTGACAACTAAGTAACTAGCAGCGACAATAGGAAAGCAGCGTGTGATGAACGATGGTTAAACAAGTAAAACAGAGGCCACATTTCAATGTGAAGCAGAACAGAAATCGTCTATAGAACATCGTAGTATGTATGGGCCAAGCATCTGAAATACGCTCTATCGTCAGCAAGTCCATGCATCTGCAACAACGAACGAACGATGTCATTGACTTATTCCTACAATAACCATTTGTCCTTTCCAATGTGGAGTACTTTCATTTTAATATCTTGCCTTCACATGTCATGCATGCTAAGCTCATGTAAAAAAAAAACAAGAATAAACTCGCATTACCCATCTGTTTATACTTTTGGGCATTTATAATTAAACTGAAATTAGTTGAATCTGCTGAACGCATTGAAATGACTTGGATTGCTGTCATAACTTTGATCGAATTATATTGATTTAATTACCTTTTCGTTAAAAAGGCGTCATTGTAACAACAAAGCCAAATTGCCTGCAGCGATATTAGACTGAAAAAAATCCGTGCTCGCACGCCTGCATAAATAAATGAATCGGACTCTAATCTTATTCGTGTAACTTTTATCTGCCCTCGAAACTACCGAGTACTATTAAATCTGTGTTAAGCAATTAGCTACCACAGTTTCAGAATTTGTTACGTAACAATAAATGTAGTCGCTGCCTGCTTGAATATTGCGAAATACAGTTTACAGTATTTATCTTCTGAACCGAGTTAAGCGAACAGGAATTCTGTGATCGTTAATATATACTGCATGCTTTTTAAAGTTTTCCTCGCTCTGCCTGATTTTTCGTTGAAATGCTAAAAATCATTTACGTTCGCTAAACTCAGTTCGGAAGATAAATAAACTGCATCTCGCGCAATCACAGCAAATAGTGTCTTCCCGCGGCGCAATCTTTGTGAACCGCTGCCGTATGTGTATATATCGTATTTTGCGCTAGCACATTACTGTATTCGTCCTGTTTTAAGACATACAACAGGCGCTACAGCGACGTGTTTGCCACCCCTGCACTACTGAACGCGAAGGCTGGAAGTTTATCTCTTATTATGCTAGACTCTTTGTGAACAAGACGGCTTTAACAAAAGTGTTTGTTATCATGTCCCATTTTAATAATACAGACTACATCTTATCCTGCTATAACTATCGTGTATTTTTTGGGCTCGCTCGGCTGGTCAGAATATTCAAAACCTATGGTAAACGATCGACTGGCTCACAAACTATGGTTGCCGCTATTCATTATTTTTTCATCTCGAGGATTTGGTTAAGTTAAACTTTCATCTCTGCCTGAACTAGCTATTATTGATCGAGGATTTTTCAAATCTTTTGAAATTTGTTTTGATTTCCCGGAAAAATCATACACAGAACAAAACAATGAACATACAAAAGATTCGGGGAATCTGGCAAAAAAGGTAATTTATAAAAAGCCACTATTTATAGAAAATAAATTTTTGAATAAAAATAGGAAACTAACGTGCTCTCTGAATGCATGTGATCAGTTAGGCCATGTTCAACTTGTCCGTATTTGAGAGGCTTCTTGATTAAAGATGAGTCCGTTCAGGGTGTTTTGTGACATAAGCTTTTCCGGCAAATCTCTTTCCGCATACCTCACATGCATAACGTTTTTTGTTTGAATGTGTTTGCATATGAATATTTCGATGAACGTGCTGGCTAAATGCCTTTCCACATAATTCA